ATTACAACCTAATTTTTTATTTAAATTTTAAAACATCTCAAGCAGCAATAAAGTATGATCATGTATGGGTCTGATTAATTAACTACTTTTTTTTTGACAATTCAGAATAGTATTAAATGATTAGAAGTTGATTTTTGGGCTCAGTTATTTTGAAAAGAAATTATGAAATAATTTTGAATGATATAAAATAAACAAAAAAAAAGTACACGATATAAAAGGTTAAGACGTGTATCGTTGTTATATTATTTAAATGAGATTCCTTATGGGAGTTTGCATTCTGAGACTTGATGCAGAGCCGAAATAATTCTCGCAAGGTATACGGAGCACATACGGAGCAAAGTCGACAAGAATGAGAGAGAAGTGTGCCTCAGGGTGATTGTACGTTGCCGTGTGGCACCCAAGAGGTGAGGCTTCAAGGGAGAGAGACGTTCATTTAACCAGCAATGTATATCAACATCAACATCCCCCGTGCTTCGCGTTCTGCACCCCAGAAACTTCCTTCAGGATTATGTCGCCCCCATGATTCGCCAACTATGCACGACAACTAACTAAAATTCGAGACTGAGAATTTCTCCAAGACGAGTGAGTCTGAATTAATTTGCAAGTGGGATAAAAATTTAACAGGAATCTAAGAGGAATGAGGAGACAAGTCTCGTGGGAGAAAAGATCTTTCTGGGACGTGGAGGCTGCCCTCAGTATACGTCTTCAAGAGTAAACGCAATAATTTTGAAGCAAAGGGGTTACGTGGCATGCGCATAAATGTAGTTATAAATAAATCTAGGAGCTCTTAATGCTTCTTGGGATCACTAGGGAGCAAGGATATGCAATAAAGGTCGCTCAGAAGCGAGAAATAGGGAGAGAGAAATAAGCAAAAGGGGATGATTCTTAGGCGCGTGCCAAGAATTTACTTCTCTCTGTGTGTTGACTTGGTCTCTTTAATTCTACTACTTTGGTTACATTTCTCTCTTCCTCCACTATAACTCTTCTTTCAAATCTACTCATCTTAATTCATGACCTCCCTCTATATTCTTATTATGTAACTAACTTTCAGAACCTTTAAAGCTCCATTCTTTCAATGATAAATTACCATTTCCTGACGGAATTTTCATTTGCGATAATTATAGCTTAGATGTGTACTTAATGTTTTCTCGTGCACGTAGACGCATTTATGAGTGGGTATTATTGCGTGACAATTAAGATTATTAACATGGGACATGACCTCTGGAGTACAATGTGAAGCTACCATGAAAGAGCTAATAGACAGTACAAAAAATAGTACAAATGTTTAAAATTAACTGCTAAAGTATAACAATAGAAATTCAACTGTTTTATGAGATAATAGAGTTTATGAAAATTCTGATTAGCAAGTTAATTGCATTTAATTATAATTAAAATTTCTAACACTTATCATTATAATAGCATTTTTTTAGGACAGAAAAAAAGTCTAGTAAAAAAAGTATCACAGTAGAAATAAATTCATTCAATTAAGTAATAAAAGTTTTAGCATTTTTTTTTTTTTTTATTTGGAGTCTGAATGTTGAGGAAAAAATTTAATAAAGTAAGACAATTAATTATGAAGATTATTAAGAAGTAAAATTGAACCAATTATTAGTCATGAATTCTCGAAATTCTTAATACCAAATAAAAAGAGCTCTTAATTTTCCGCTAATTTCAATCTCATTTATTCTACTGAGATCCACGGGTTTTCGAATGTAAGACAGAAGCCGGAAAGAAGCGAAGAAAGTGAAATGAATCGAGAAATTGTTGCAAAGGAATTTATCAATTTTCTTTGAAGGATTCTAATTGTACTAATTTGTTTGTCTTGGATCCAGGGGCTCTCTTGAATCACGGATCGAGGGGTAACTGGAATTCTATCGTTTAATCTTCGTTTGCCTCATACCATGATTGTTGGTATCAGTTAGTATCTCTTTCTCTTACTATTCTATTTAAGTATCTATACCTACAAGTAATTTTTGACTCTTACATCTTGAGAAAGAGATACGTAAACGGTGAACGTTTTGTGAACCGCTCGCGCGTAAAGTAAAACAAGAGAAGCTTAAGGCTGCGACCTGGCTTCGATCCATTAATCTGAATCCGTGGCATTCGGTCGAATTTGAATAGTGGAAAATTGACGGAATTCCTCGTTGATCGAAAAGTGATTTAATTATTTTCTTTAATTAACTGAAAATCTATTTAAATTTTCGATTTCATGATTATTTTAGGTATCTTTATAAAAATAATTAATTTTTATTGTTGAATATTTTTTTTCCAGAGTTTTATTACTTCTCTTTATTTCATTTTCAGAGAAAAAAATTTTAATCGATCAGTTATTCAATTTTGGAGCCACAAAATTCCATAGAACTGTCCCAAAACTATTTAAAAACAATAAAAAATATTCTAAAAATCGTCTGAACATCAATCTCATTATTCATTTAATCTAAAATAAATTTTTATTATAAAGAAAATATTATTTCTCTTCACTAATGAAGTTTTATTGATTTTATGTTATTAATAATTAATTGAAACAAAAACAGCATGGAAAAGTAATTCTGTGATGAGAAAATAATTGACAATCATTAAACATAAATGCTGAATAAGTATTGTTAAATAAAAAAATTATAAAGAGAGTCTTTTGACAATTTTACGACAATGTATCAAACATTAGAGAAAAAATGTAAGATTAATATGGAATAAAACAATTCTCACACGCACAGGAAAAAATAAAGAATAATTAACGTATCAAATAAAGACTTGTTTATGCATCATGATAAGTAAGTCACGCACTTATTCCCTCACGAAGAAATGCATTTGAATTGTATTACAAGAGTCATGTTGGCAGTACAAGCTGGTTTACAGTAGCAACCCCCGATGGCAATAATACGATTTTAATTGTAACGTCGGTACATTTCTGTGTCAGCACGAAATCTAGCCCGCGGGTCCGCCCACATCACGGTTATTTATGTGCTAACACGTCTAATTTATCACAGTTTAATATCACAGACTCACCAAGTCCTTTCCTCTCTCTTCATTGACTCCTTATCCTGCTTTTCCGCTCTTGTAATTTAACTATGTGTAAGTGATATGATGCAGTGTCTTTACATTACACTTCCTCTAAACCTTTTTACGCACATGCTTTGCCATCTGTTTGTACATTTTTTTTGCCAACTAATCCCTCATGATTAACAGGCAAATTTTTTTGGGCTAAAAGTATTTACAATTCGCTAATATTTTTAACTCTTTTCTAACCCAAAATTCCAACAAAAATACCAACAATTAATTTTTATTGCATTAAATAATTCAATAAGATTGGAATTTTTAATTTGAATAAATTAATTTTTTCATTTAAAAACACTCATGGAATTTTTATGATGAGATATGAAATAAATTTTTTTCAAATCTATCCTTGGACTCTTTCACTAAGTGAAAGAGAATCTATTGCAAAATTTGTTTGCAGAAATGAAATATTTAGATCAAAATTCAAATAATCACCTGCTTTAAATATTCTAGTAAATAATTTCCGACAAAAAAAAAATTAATTCTCGACAAAAAAAGAAAACAAGTAAATTGAGAATAACAGTTTACAAGCTGTCATTTTCCCTTAATATTCTCAACTCCAGGAATCAACGAATGATCTGAAAAAAATTTAAAAAAACTATTGCAGTCTTTCCCTATTACAATGGAAACCGGACATGAATTTTTTTTCCATCATAATTATCATTCATGAAATAATGAATACATCTGATAAAAGTCCTATTAATTAATATAAATTAAGAGGAAAATTTATTACTGATGATAAAAAAGACTAATTTATATCCTGACTCGAGTAAGTATTAACCAGTTCATGAAGGAATAAATGAAATGCGTTTTCAGATAAAATACAAATTATCCTTCATATATGAAGGAATAAAAATAATTGCTTAATTATGGTTATGAAGAGTTATACGAGGGAGATCACACGGTGTGGGTAAAAGATAAAGTGGAACGTGGCATATACAAGGAAATCGTACCACCCTTTTGGTCGAAGCGGATGAGAAAAAATGAGAAAATACGGGGGCGTATGATCTTGGTTTCGATCGAGCCGATTCCAGGGTTGATCAGTGCGCGACGTTGGCCCCGATATCAAAGCGCGCAGCAAACAATACGCGGTGAGATGCTGATGCGATTGTATTATAGCTAGTGGACTAGTGATCCATTGTCTCGTCACGTCCTACCCACTCGTTTCTTTTATCTCGATCCCCAGAGTTTGACGTCGTATCATATCGTATCGAGTGAGCATCCATCGAAAGTAGCATGCTTGAGAATAATATAAGGGTGGAGTTTGTCATAATGCTGAACAACTCAGACTCTACACTTCATCTATACTCCCTATCTCCATGTCTTGCAACTTTCGTTTGTTGTATATTCTAAGATATATAAGCTTATTATTCGCATACATTTGTATGTATATATACGTAACGCACGCTTCAAATTTCGCCGCAGTCATATCAGATTACCTGATTGACTACTTCCTGCATGCACTCGACAGTGCATTCATTTCGTTATTAAATGGCTCTACTAAAAATATTTACACGACATATACTATCAACATCCTCACGAGAAAATAATTTATTAATTAACCTTTTTTGTATTACAATATTTGTCATTATTAAAAATTTTATTTCATCAAAACTTTCATTTCAATTATTTGTCATTAAATGAATGTAATAAGAAGAAAAAAAAAACACGTGAATGTATTGAATATTAATTATTCTACATGTTCGCATTATTTCATTATAAATCTCCATCATTTCCTTTCACCTTTTTTCTCGTCGATAAATTTTTTTACAGAAAATACTCGAATGTATAATTACTAGTGGAGATATAAAAATACATCTCAAGTATTGAAAACAATAAAAAAAGGAATAATTATATTACCTATGAATTTTATTATTGTATTTAAAGTTTAAATTATTTTCCCGTGAGCATGTTGGAGATAAGAATATAGATATATAATGACATACCAATAAGTGGATGAAATTTTGTTTGCAGCGAAAGGAAAAATGTAAGTTGGTTGTGATGCATACCTGTAACAAAAAGAAGAAAAAAAATGAAACAAGATTTATGAGTAATTCTAATTAGAATATTATATAGAGACGTTGAAATAGCATAAATGGTGTAATACTGTTAAATACACTGTAGAATAAAATAGCAAGTGAAAGCTAAATTGGTTGCACGTAAACACGAGAGTCTTATGGATAATTTTTTGTATGCTGTTTGCTGCCAACTGAAAACAAGTTGCTCGACAAAATTTATCTTCTTTTCATTCAAATGGTTTCCTCATCACGCATTTATGTATTCCATGATATTGCGCTTTTTAAACTCACCGCCTTTTATCCTCACTGTCTTGGATATTAAGACCCCCAGCCGGTTTGTATTAGTCACATAAATTCCCTCACCACCGACAAGAACGCATTGCGCCGGATCTGCAGTTATCCTCGCACGAATTCACGTAATTAAACCATATATTTTTAAATGCCAACATTCATTTTTCATAATTATCCATTTATTTTATTTCACCTTCTTTTTTCAATGATGTCTCAATTTTTCATGTTTTTCCTTAATATAAATTACCAAGTACTATCGTTTAAAAAAATATGTAAATTATTTATTGCCTTCAAACTATTTAAGAGTTTCAAATAATTGGCTCTAAAATATTTTTAATCGTCAGCTAAAAAGAACAATACACTGTCGAATTTATAGTGTAAATATGAACGAGAAAATAATAAAGGAAAAATAAGTAAATAAAATTTCCCTGGCATAATACTTTTATTTAAAGCGGTTGTTGCCACGATTTTAATCAACTCTTAGCCCTCTTTGACGCTTCCCCACACCTGAACCTTGCGAATCATCCCCTGCACTCGAAATTCCTTCGGTTAATTACGCACAGATTTCCAATGCATCCCTTTCATACATTTTCTAGCCAGTCCAATATTTAATTTTTTTTTTTTTTACAATCAATAAAATTTATTTGTAAAATATTCCGGGTTTTTTTTTTTTTTTTTAATATTGTAAAAAATTAATAACCATCAAGAAATCAATTAAAAAAATGTTTAAGTATTGAAGAGCTTATAATATTCTAGTGAGAATGAAATTTTTCCTGAGAAAAGGGTTGTAATATTATTTTAAGCCACGAAAACGACAAATTCAGCCTGGCACCTTTTAAATACTTAATTCCATTCGCCACTAATTGGACAGTTTTATTAAGGGATGCATATTTTAGATGGCATTTTTATTATCTTCAATAAGAGTAGAAAGATATATAACCCTTGAGACATTCTTATGTATCTCGAATATTTTTTCTTTCACACTCTTATTCTTCCATAATACCAGGAAGGGGTGGCTTTAAAAAATTAGATTTCATCCCTTCAAAAAATATTAGCACGAGAAAGAAGAACACAACCCTTTCGCCTGTGGCAAACACGTCTAGGGGTATTGTTGAACAGGATTAAAAGCACGAAAGTGTAATTTCTCGGGGTGAACGAAGAGATTTTCCTTTTTTTATTTAATATTTTATATCGAAGAGTATAAAAACGTCTCTTTTTCTCTTCTTCAGCTGAACATTTTGCGAGCAAAAGAGCGCGAGATTACTCGAGGAAACGAGATCAAAATTTCGTGGTATGAAAATGTAAGAGCAAAGACAGTATATAAATTTTAATAAGCTCCATTCGGGGTAACTCTTTGAGCTTGAAATGAACGAATTAAAAGTTTTTCTCATTCTATCTGCTATTCTTCCTCTTTCACTCTCCTTTATTCTCTTTATCCAACTCATCAACGCACTTTAAGTAGTCTCTGAGTTGACATTCCAACTTATTTCACAATCTCATCCAATAACTACCCCAACTTTTGTCGTTTTCTCTTAAGAACATTTGCCACTTTCAGACTCTGATCTCCTCATCTGAACAACTTATGCAAGAATTCCAACAAATATTCAGCTTTTCATGCAGCTAAACCACTTGAAAGTTACGTTTGAATAATTTCTACACCTCATATATACCTTATGCTTGAAGAAATTTCCCAACAGTGTATACTCATCTCTCTTCCACAAGCCTTCTGTAAATCACTACAACTATAGCTTCACACACAGGACAAAGTGCGGAGAGTAGGAAGTAAGGAGGGTGGATTTTCAGTTGAGACTCGACAAACTTGGTAACTCGGTAACGTGTTCTCGTTAACGTTCGACAGACGACCCCTCGAGTGCATCGACAAGAAGGAGAGATGATAGTCTAAAGATGGAAAATGAGAAGGAGAGAAGCTTGTGCACGAATAACCGAGTAAGATTTCAATTAAAACAACCCCCTGGCACGCGGGAGGATTAGCGATACGAATCCACAAGGATTGTCTTCCCCAGCGAAAACGAAGAAACATCTAACCCTCCTGGGTTATGCCACAGCATAAATATCCATGTAAATTACCTGCGCGAAATGTCATCTTTATTAACACAATAATATACTAAATTATTTGAAATGTTATTAAAATTTCATTAGATATTTTTATTAAGCTTATATTCATCATTCTACTCAATAATCACTAATTATTTCATTTTTTATTAATCCATCAATTCTCCTAATTATTTTTCAAATAATTTTAATCAAAATTAAACATCATTAACATTACAAAAAAAAAATGTAAAAATAAAACAAAAGAGGAACGTTTTTTTTTATTAATTTAAAATAGTGGACATAAAATTAAATATAAATAAATAATTTTTTTTTCGTGTGGTGCAAATGTGATATTTTTCTTAAACTGAAAATTACTCTGTAATGATAATTATCATGAAAAATGTTAATAGCATGTCCTTGAGAGACATAATGAATTTTCACTACCGATTTTAATGTTTTCTCCAGCATCATCAAAGAACAAATAATATGCAGATAATGGAGAAGACATATAGGAAGGCATGAAGGAGAAAGTGATGAGATGGAATCATACTACAAAATTATAATTAACAAAATTATGTCGGAGTAACTCGATAGGCTCTGGCAGAAATGGGTATAGAGAACAAGAGTGAGGGATGTATATCGAATAGGGGTAGCTTATATATCTAAGAAGAGTGTAGCGAAGGGTTGTAACTGACATTAGAGTGAATGAGAAAGGAAGACGCGAACTCACATGCTAGTATGAACAGCAAAATTGAACGCTCACGTAATCTTATACAAGGGAGTGATTGCGAGCTTGAAAAGGTTTTAATTATAGTTCTCGATTCTCGTGCAAGAGCTATGGTTTAAGTGAAAAGTAAAAGGATTTTTAAATTTATTCTGTGATAATTAATTCATAAATAAAATTTGTAAAACAAACTCTACTACATATTAATACAAAAATCTTTACCTATTAATTATTAATTAGCTGTTAAATAAAATCATCAAATCTTCTTGAATTCAAATGAAATTTTTTTTTTTTTGGATTGCAACGTATAAGGTGTTTCTTTCGACACTTTATAAACCCCTAGAAGAATGCAAGGATGAATCTTCACGGGTGCGTGAAATCCAAGGGAAGATGGAAAGTAAAGTAAGGGAGAAAAATCCTCAAAATCTCAACAACTTTCACGCTCGAGGGGTTGAGAAGGGCGTATCGAGTTACTGACATCATCACCAAAGCTAGACGAAGAGGCTTTGAAGATGCAAGTCGATCAAAGAGTTGCGAATGCTAGAAGCTAAAGATTTTTCTTTCTAAAAACTGCTACATCTGCTTTGATTCATGAGAGAAAGAGAGAGAGGGGAAAAAAGAGAGAGAGACAATGGTAACGTTGAAGCTAAGAGGGCGTTAACTAAACTTTAATGGAGATCTCAGATAAAACATTTTTGGTTGAACGTTGAAAGACTTCTTTGACGGATTACGCCCAAATCGTATCTATCTCATATGGATGTACAACAAGAAGACAAGCTACCTGGTGGAAAAGATGACGGGTAACCGAACTAAGTGTTATAATACCCCGCACTTACTGTGACTATATTCACCAATTCAACATCATCCCTGGAAGATTTACACCGAGGTCGAGAGTTTATATGCATTAAGTATTATTTATGTGAAAGAGAGAAGAATGGAGATCTTTTTCAATGCTACTGTATTATCGGTAGCACCATCTTTTCGAATGAATATCCAAGCTTATGAGACTTTCAAATAGTGTCTTTTATTTTGAATGATGGAATAACTACTGATTTTTTCATGTGACCATTTTTTCTTTAAATCAAGTTATATTAACGGAGTTCAGGATTTTTTCATTTAATCAGATCTTAACTCAAAGATTAAAAAAATTGTTGCATTCAATCTTTGCTCTTCAATAATTTGAACAATATGTCCATCTATTGGTCTGTTTGTTCTACTTGATTCTATCATTTTTACTGCAATTATTTTTTATTGTTTGAAGCATTGAATTTTTTTTTATTTTTTCATGTCATGCTCCAGAAATATTGATAATTATACTTTAAAGTCAACTGATAATCACATTCAACATTTAAATCATTATTCCATTGTTTTTATTTTATTTTAATTATTCATATACAAACTCAAAAAAATCATTATTATTATAGTTGTCTACAGAATATTTTTTCTCTCTGAAAATCATTGGAAATAAATTATTTGATGCTTATCAAAAATATTAAATTTGATAGTAAATATTTATTATTAATTTCATGAATTTTAAAAAAAAATATCGAATGAATGAATTAAGATAAAAAATCTTTTAAAAAAAAAGATTTGATTACAATTTGTCTTTAATACACATTTACAAGCATTCCTATTCTTTTTCTGTTACATTATCTTTCTCCCCTAATTTTTTGTTCATCCACCAGGGAAAAGCCAAAGCCGGAAAAGAGTGTCAGCACGATTTCGCGCGAGAGCTCAACAAGTCGAATAAAAAGCTCATAAATAAAGAGGAGAATCACTCTCGCCCTTTCTTTCATTCTTTCTTTTTTTCTCCCTTTAACTTCAATTCCCTCTTATTCGCTTCCGACCTTTCACCCTCACCAACGCGTTTCTGCGAATGTCCCCGCGGACACCTGTTGCGTAAATTCTCTCGAACTCAGCC